CCAGGTTACATGTCCCTCTGTGAACCTCAACTTAGTCAGCAAAGCCAGGCCTTCTAATACTTCAGCCCAGGAAAGTGGGGGGGCTGACAAACATGCATAAATTGCACCCCCGCCCTCTTGATTTTTCAGAGATCCCCACCCCCACCCCCAATCCCCCAGGCCCATCGGTCAATGCCAGTATGCCCACTGTTTTGAACCCGGGACGAGCCATGGGACCCTCCCGCGCTCCCTTCCCGTACCTCTCGAAAGCGATATTGCGCATGTCCAGGTGCGTGGCGACCACGGGGGCCATCAGGCGCCCCATCACCTGCTCCTCGGTGGGCTGCATGGCCGCCAGGATGGTCTCCTGGTCGTGGGCAGCCAGCGCCAGCGTTTCAGAGTAGACCACCCGCCGGTTGTGATCCACCTCCATGAACACCGCACTCGTATCTAGGGGAGGGGGAGAGAGAAAGAGATCATCCAATTGGTCCAAATATTAAAAGCAGCCCTGTCTCATAGGTCTTTGAACGAAGCCCCTTCCCCAGAAGCATCGTCCCATTGGTCCAAATATTGAAAGCAGCCTTGTCTCATAAGTCTTTCAACGAAGCCCCTTCCCCAGAAGCATCATCCCATTGGTTCAAATATTAAAAGCAGCCTTGTCTCATAAGTCTTTCAACGAAGCCCCTTCCCCAGAAGCATCGTCCCATTGGTCCAAATATTGAAAGCAGCCTTGTCTCATAAGTCTTTCAACGAAGCCCCTTCCCCAGAAGCATGCCCAATTGGTCCAAATTTTGAAAGCAGCCTCCTCTCATAGGTCTTTGAACGAAGCCCCTTCCCCAGAAGCATCATCTAATTGGTCCAAATATTGAAAGCAGCCTCGTCTCATAAGTCTTTGAACGAAGCCCCTTCCCCAGAAGCGTCATCCAATTGGTCCAAATATTGAAAGCATCCTCCTCTCATAAGTCTTTGAACGAAGCCCCTTCCCCAGAAGCATCACCCAATTGGTCCAAATATTGAAAGCAGCCTCGTCTCATAAGTCTTTGAACGAAGCCCCTTCCCCAGAAGCATCATCCAATTGGTTCAAATATTGAAAGCAGCCTCGTCTCATAAGTCTTTGAACGAAGCCCCTTCCCCAGAAGCATCACCCAATTGGTCCAAATATTGAAAGCAGCCTCGTCTCATAAGTCTTTGAATGAAGCCCCTTCCCCAGAAGCATCATTTGATTGGTCCAAATATTGAAAGCAGCCTTGTCTCATAAGTCTTTCAACGAAGCCCCTTCCCAGAAGCATCGTCCAATTGGTCCAAATATTGAAAGCAGCCTGGTCTTATACCGTAAGTCTTTCAACGAAGCCCCTTCCCCAGAAGCATCATCCAATTGGTTCAAATATTAAAAGCAGCCCCGTCTCATGTCTTTCAACGAAGCCCCTTCCCCAGAAGCATCGTCCAATTGGTCCAGATATTGAAAGCAGCCTCGTCTCATAAGTCTTTCAACGAAGCCCCTTCCCCAGAAGCATCGTCCAATTGGTCCAAATATTGAAAGCAGCCTGGTCTCTTAAGCCCCCTCCCCTTTTATAAGCAAGACGTGGCATCACACACCTGTACAAGCAGGTGGGAGCTTAAGTGACGAGGGAGCAAAGCTAGCTAGTTCTTTTCGCCAAGTCCTGAGAACGTCTCTGATCCTGGTCTGATTCATTTTATGACCGATTCATGTAACCCCCTCCCCTTTAAAAACATCTTCAAGGAAGTGCCAATATTAGGTCACAATAAAACACCTGTACAGGTAGTCTACAGGTAGATATAAAGTAGACTTATAACCACAATTAAGTTTAAAAAACGAATGACTGTACATCAAGAATTATTGTATTGCAAAGAAACTCTGATTATCTGACTTTGATCATTCCAGGGGTTAAACCTTCCACCTTGGCAACTTGGAAGATTTGTGGACTTCAACTCCCAGAATTCCCTAGTCAGTGCGAGGGTTCTGGGAGTGGAAGTCCGCCCCTCTTGAAGCAGGCTGGCTGGGGAATTCTGGGAATAGACGTCCACCCCTCTTAAAGCAGGCTGGCTGGGGGATTCTGGGAGTGGAAGTCCACCCCAATCTTAAAGCAGGCTGGCTGGGGAATTCTGGGAGTGGAAGCCCACCCCTCTTAAAGCATGGCTGGCTGGAGGATTCTGGGAGTGGAAGTCCACCCCTCTTAAAAGTATCCAAGATGGAAAAACACTGGGGTATCCTAAGCCCCAAAACAAATGTATTCATTAAGCATTATTAACACAAGTTGTGGACCCATCAACATGTATTTGGAAGTGGAGAGATCTGTCGGAAACAGCACAACCCTGCGCGTCCTTAAAGCAAACTATTTAATCCCCAGTTTTGCAGGGAAGGGAAAAAGGATGCGGCTGCTTTAAGTGAGCTGACCCCTAAAAGCAGGAGATTTTAACCAGCTTCTTAAAGCAACCGCATCCTTTTTTTGGGGGGGCAGAAGGGAAACCTTTTCTCCAGCGCAAAAGAAAACTTGGCTGCTTTCATGAGCCATCGAAAGGTGTGAACGTCAAAGCAGCCTTCCAAGAATTTTCACCCACCTTGACCCCGGAAGATGAAGCTGTGGTTCCCACGCTGCCAGGTCATGTGGTCGAAGCCCAGCAACGTTGTGTCTACCCGCAGGTTCTGGCCACACTTCCACACCTTGTATGTGTCACTGGGGCAAATCTTGGAGACCAAAGGAACTGCGAAAAAGCAGAGGAGGGCGAGTGCCACGGGGGCAATTAATTCCTTCCTTCCTTTCCTTCTTTCTTTCTTTCCTTCCTTCTTCTCCCTTCTCCTTCCTTCCTTCCTTCCTTCCACCCTCCCTCCTTCTCCTTCCTTCTTTCCTTCCTTCCTTTTTCTTCCTTCCTTCCTTCTCTTTCTTTTCTTCTTCTCCCTTCTCCTTCCTTCCTTCCTTCCTTCCTTCCACCCTTCCTCCCTCCCACTCTTCTCCTTCCTTCTTTCCTTCCTTCCTTTCCATTTCCTTCATCTCTTCCTTCCTTCCTCCCCCTTTTCTTCCTTCTTTCTTTGCTTCCTTCCTCCCTTTCTCCTTTCTTCTTTCCTTCCTTCCTTCCCCTCCATCTCTTCTCCTTCTTTCCTTCCTCCCTCCTTCATTTCCTTCTTTCTTTCCTTCCTCTCCCTTCTCCTTCCTTTCTTCCTCCCTCCCACTCTTCTCCTTCCTTCTTTCCTTCCTTCCTTTTTCTCCTTCCTTTCTTCCTTCCTCTTTCTTTCCTTCTTCTCCCTTCTCCTTCCTTCATTCCTTCCACCCTTCCTCCCTCCCACTCTTCTCCTTCCTTCTTTCCTTCCTTCCTTTCCTTTTCCTTCATCTCTTCCTTCCGTCCTCCCCCTTTTCTTCCTTCTTTCTTTCCTTCCTTTCTCCCTCCCTTCTCCCTCCTTCTTTCCTTCCTTCCCCTCCGTCTCTTCTCCTTCTTTCCTCCCTCCCTCCTTCATTTCCTTCTTTCTTTCTTTCCTTCCTCTCCCTTCTCCTTCCTTCCTTCCTTCCTCCCTCCCACTCTTCTCCTTCCTTCTTTCCTTCCTTCCTTTCCTTCCTCTCCCTCCCTCTCTTCTTCCTTCCTTCCTTCCTCCCTTCTCCTTCCTTCTTTCCCTTCTTTCCTTCTTTCCTTCTTTCCTTCCTTCCTTCCTTCCTTCCTTCCTTCCTTCATTCATTCATTCATTCACTCATTCATTCTATCTGCTGCCTGTCTCCGTCTCCAGAGTTCCTGGATGGCTTATTAAATTCATCCTGTCCCTGGAATTAAGTCCTTCCCCTACTCTGGCATGTTCTCTACCCTGGGAAAGTAGGGACGTCTGGCATGGGGTGGGGTCAAAAAAGTCAAGATGGCTGACCTTTCTGTGGAATTGAAGCCCCGCCCATTACGATGCATTCAACAACATAAACATAAGACTTTGCACATGTGGGTCTATCTTGGCTTTTTCTAATCCTGCAAATGCCCCTTGGGGGGGGAGATTTTTTTTCTTAAGGGGTGGGTGGGTTTTTTCCCCACTTGGGGGGGCAAAGAGGCGACAGCCCCTTCCCAACTGGGGCATCGGCTGCTTTCTTTCGGCATGCACACGTACCCCAACTCGTGAATTCCCACTTCATCTCTACGTAGAAATCTTGAGCCTGCAGCAAAGAGAACAGAACAGATTTGGGAGGCAAAATGACATACAGCGAGTCCTCAACTTACGACGTTTTGCTCAGCGACCGTTTCAAGTTACAACGGCGCTGGAAAAAAAGACGTGACCGTTTTTCACACCGTGGCAGCCTCCCCGCGGTCGCGCGACCCAAATTCGGACGCTTGGCAGCTGACCCGTATTTACGACGGTCGCAGCGTCCCGGGGTCACGTGATCCCCTTCTGTGACCTTCTGACCAGCCGGATTCACTTAACAACCGGGTTACTCGTTTAACGACTGC